CAATACGGTAGATAATTCTGCAATTAATTAATCTTAATTTAACTAATAATTTACTAAAAACATATAAATTATTCCGACACATATAATTCACTTCTAAAATTGAAACATTTTAGATCCTATTCGATCTGTTTTGGATGAATATCCGCAATATAATATAACTTTGTTTGATTATGATGGCACAATTTTTGATTTGATATCAAGTGTTAAGGTATTATTAAACTTGCTTCTGAAACAGCTATAATTTCAACTTTGAACAACTGTTTGTCAAAGTAATTAATGATAATAATCAAGGCAATATTTGGTCATATTTCTGTAAAGATTAAACTTGAAAAGAAGCAATTATATAATTAATTATGAGTAACCTTAAAATGCTCATTTATCCTTTTTTATAATGGATAAAAAACAACTGAAATAAATTACAAATCAAACAATTTTTTTTATTCTTAATTTTTCGTTGTCTAAAATGGACCTTTTGGTTTTTCTTTTGAATTAACTACTAAAAATAACATGATTAAAAAAGAATGACCATAAGAAAAGTGTAGTCTTTTGACCAAAACTACGACCTGACTGATATTGTAACAATTAAAGTTATCAAGCAAAGGACAAACTTGACCTAAAATTACAATTATTCTTTATAATAGCAATTACTTTTTCCAAAAAAAAAAGTGTAAAGAGGAGAATTGGTATATTATGGATCTGTTTGTTTTGGATATATAAATTTTTCATTGTTTCAATAATTTTTTAGCTTATATACTGATAAAAAATTAATGATAAAATCTCATTAATTTTAAATTATAACAAACAACTCAAAGAATAATATCAAAATTTTACAGAAAGAACTGACGAAAGCAGTAATTATTACAATAACTTGTATTATGTTTGTATGCTTCATATTTACCACAAAATTAGCTCCGACAATTGTCGCATCATTTACCATTTTCTCGATTTTCTATTGTTAGTTCATTTCATAATAGCTTAACAATTATTTGTGATAGATTTCGATAAAATTTCTCAATACTGCATTATTAATTGAATAATATAATTAACATTGATAAGACAGAAATATAATGATATCATAAGTATAACAATTTCAAATTATAGAATAGAATATGATCGAGAATGAACAAATTTTTTGTTACAATGGAAAAGATTTTGCTTATTTCTTAAAATGATTTACTTCCAACCTATGTGATAATTTAGTATGATGATAAACCATAATTATGTTTGCTAGAAATTTCTGAGAATTTTAGGTATGATGGGAATCTTAAGCTTACTTGGCCTTGATCTGGATCCAATAACGATGATTACTGCAATAATTGCTGTTGGATTCAGTGTCGATTTTACGGCTCATGCATGCTATCATTTCTATCATTGCGATAATTCGGCACATATTTCTAATGAATGCATTGATCATCGGATACGTAAACTTGCTAGTGTATATCATGCCATTGGTGAACCAATTGTTGAGGTTTATTCAAATTTCATCTTTTATAATTTAATCCACTTTCTATTAACTAAAATGCTTTTTTAATCAAAAAATGAAATTTACTACTTATTCAGCTTATCATTTCCTTAATTAATATGTTTATCTGTTCTATTTTCTTTTCAGGCTGCTATATCCACCACCTTAAGTATGTTACCTGTATTTCTGATTTCCACCGAATCAGTCGGATCATTTGCCAAAACGATAGTGGTAGTAGTATTATTAGGTACTTATCATGGTATGATAATAGTACCCGCAATACTGTCATTGCGCGGCAGTAAAACGGATAGAAACAAAGGAATCATTTCGACAATTAGTCATAATATTATCAGCAGTCTGGGTCCGAAAATGCGGTTCTGATATGATAAAATATTTGCTATTTATTTCGAAAACAAGAAAAAACAGCTATTTATAATTAGGTATTTTTTTTAATTTCGTATTTTTCCTAATTTATTGAATTTAAACTTTCATTTTTGGAAATCAATTTCAAAAAATCGAATACTTTCTCTTCATTTCTTGACCGTTGTGGATTCTAAATGAATTTTAGTTCTTTCAACGTATAAAATTCAAG